ATAGTATTGTATTGTATAGTAATTAACCAGGTAGACCAGCCGGGCATCAGAAGGACCCCTTTGGCTTTCCTGCTAGAGCCAGTGTGTCATAAAGGGTTACTCTACCTGCCCCCTCCTTCTCTTGGCATCCTGTCAGCCTTTCTTCTGGGTGTTGAAATGTGTGTTGTTTTTAAACCTCTTTTCACTGGGTCTGCTGTCCTGCTGCTTTGTAGCATGACTAGAAGATGGCATTGCCAGTGCACGTTGCTCTGCTCAAGAACTGCTTTCTCCACCTTCTCTCCCTCTCTCTCTCGGTAAAGATACGACCCGACCAAAGCGAGATTATGAGGTGGATGGACGAGATTACCACTTTGTTATGTCCCGAGAACAAATGGAAAAAGATATTCAGGATCACAGGTTCATTGAAGCTGGCCAATACAACAACCACCTCTATGGGACAAGCGTCCGGTCTGTGAGGGAGGTAGCTGAGAAGGTAAACATCCTGCTCCACTTCCAAAGTGGCCTGTCCACACCATGTAAATTGAGACATGGGCAGCATTTTGCCCTGGCTGGTGGTGGACAGTGGCAGCGGGCGACTTTTGCTCATTAGGCATCCCTCCACACCCTCCTTGCTCCTCTTTGAGCAGCCTTTCCTTCTCTACATCAGGGCAAGCACTGCATTCTTGATGTTTCTGGAAATGCAATCAAGAGGCTCCAGATAGCCCAGCTGCACCCCGTGTCCATCTTCATCAAGCCTAAATCGGTGGAAAATATCATGTGAGTACTTGTCCTGGGTGTGCCTTTCTGCCCCTCTGTGTGACAGGACCCTGGTTGCCTGTGGCACCTTGAGGATGACCCTCACGATACTTCCAAGGCCCTGGAGCCAGTGCTGGGCGCGGTCTGTGAGATCCAGGCCCTGCTGCCTCCTGAGCTGAATAGGCCGCCTTGCATGCATTTTACATAGCATTCACAATGCCTGCGACACAGTTCTGCAAAGTTATTAAAATGATGTGAGACGGCAACCTATGGAGGTTGAGATCGGATGAACCGTGAGGAGTGGGGAACTCGTCACCCCACACACACACACACACAGACACGCACCCTTGCTGCCTAACAGAAGGAATCCCTGCCTGTTTTGCTTCCACAGGCCTCCAGGTTTGCCTGTTTTTTCAGGCATTTGTGGTTATTTTCAGTACAAGATGCTAAATATGTTTTGTCTGGATAGTTTACCTAGTGTCGTTACTTTGTCAATAACACTAATGACTTTGAAATATCTGCTAATTTAGGGAAATGAATAAGCGATTAACGGATGAGCAAGCTCGAAAAACATTTGAAAGAGCCATGAAGCTGGAGCAAGAATTTACAGAACACTTTACAGGTTGGAGCATCCTTCTGTTCCATATTTGATGCCAACACTGTTAACGTTAATTTTTTTGTTGTTGTGAAGGGTAGTCCTAGAATAACCCAGGACCACCAGCCAGAAAGTTCTCTCTACAAGAACCTTAAAGACTGTGGCAAGAATTGTTTGTTTGTTTGTTTGTTTGTTTATTTATTTATTTATTTGGACTGAGAGCCAGCCTCTTCCATGATCTTTGAAGTAACCCACACACCCAGGAATCTCTTCTGTTGTTACCATCAAACCAAATTTAAAGTAACTGGTGCTTTAGCACATCGTTCAGTTTGCCTTTCATAGTGTGAGAGAAGCTCCCAGACTTGGCTGCATGCGGTAGGCTCTGTTGTTGGAGGCTCTAGTTAGGGATGGGGGGCTGGTTGGTCATCATTTGCAGCATGCGATTTGGCAGAGAGAGGCCATCATAATGGGTGGGGGGCTGTCCAAAAGGCTCCCACATAGTCATCTCAGGGATGAATCTAGAAGGTGAAGGCCCGTTTGTGAGCAGTCTTTATGGGAAGCGATACATTGAGGAACAGAGGACTGGAATAGTGGGGCATAAGCATTTCAATAGAGCAGGGACCACCAGAATAAGGTGGTTGCAAGGACTCTGCAGAAACAAGGGAAAGAGCAGAATTAGGTCCTCAAGAGCTGTCTTTTTTGCTTCTCTACAGCTATTGTGCAAGGTGACACTTTGGAAGAGATTTACAATCATGTCAAACAAGTAATTGAGGAGCACTCAAGCCCCATCATTTGGGTGCCAGCCAAGGAGAAGCTCTGAAAGTCACCAGAGTCCAGGGGTCGGCCTCTGCCAGGCCAGGCCGTCTGTGCTTCCCACATCCTGGCGGCTCTTCTTCTGGGATCCTCTGGAGCTGCTCTGCTCCGAAGACGACGTACAAAGTCGTCTTTTTGGTTTCAACTTTTTGCAAGCTGCTGGTTGAGCGCTCTTTTCTCAAGGATCAAAGAACTCTTTCTACTCCTGTGGATAGAAATGGAGAATAATGTGGTTAAAATTCCTTAATGTTTAAGGGAAAATGTCCTTCAGAGATTTTGAGAAAACAAAGCTTTTTATGCAGCCTTTTAACAATTTTGTAATAAGATGAAAGAAAAGTGGTCTTAATGTAAAATTGTGAGCAATTTTGCACGCTCGAGTTTGCTAGCATGGTTTCATCCAAGAGATTTGGGTTTAAGAGTTAGTTTCACAGTTTCTGTAACAAATATATTTTTTCTGTCAGTTTAGTAAGAAACTTTTTTCAAAATCAAAGCTAACGTATTCTTAACTGGCATTATTTGAAGAGGAAAAACTAATTTTCATAATTTCATAAGAAAATCTTTATAGCCTTGTTGTTGTTGTTATTATTATTATTTTGCTGTTGCTCTCACAGGGTGAAATTTTCTCCTGTTTTTAAACTAGAACCTACAAGACTACTTGGAATGTCTTACAGACGTTAATAGATAACAGTGCATTTCCAAATTTTAGGTGCTTAAAAACCTTGGACTTCATTTAAGAATTATGGATTTTACTCTGAAAATATTTTAAAGGCAATTATAATTATAATGGTCATAAGAGTCCTCAGTATCTAAAAATATAAATACATTCTTAGCCAGATTTTAATGAATATTTTACCCATAATTGCTTATTTTGTTATAATGAAACTATATACATACATACATACATACATACATATATATATTAAACTTTCCTTAATTAAAGTCTAAGTGTGAGAACTGTTTTCTTTAAAAAGCTCCACAGCAAAATACATATTATTTCACACTAGTTTTGAGAATCCCCTGTAGAAAAGATTGATTATAAGCAATTAGGTTATTGACAGGTTCCTGTCCCTCCTCTGAGCGGGGACGGGATGGGCTTCCGAACACAAGGAGCAGCGCACCCCGCCCCATCCCTCGGGAAAGTGGGGACGGACTCCAGCTGACTCCGTTCAGTCCCTGGAGGCAAGGTTGGTGCAATTTCCCTTTGACTGTGAACAGCCCTTATTGGCGGCCACTCAGTTCTTCAGAAATAAATAGTTTAATTGTGTGAGTTGCAGGGTGTATCACTATTTCATCATGGAGAGAAGATTAAGAATTGGGTTTTCAGTCAGAACTCTGGAAATAAGACAGAATTGAAACTCTTGCCAACAGCACCTGAGCTAGTTAAGTTTATCCTAGTGTAAAAGTATTTTGATGTATTGTACACATTTTTCAAACTACAGATTTTAAGGAGAATTGACTTCCAGCTGGAGAGACAGGTTTCATGTCACTATCCAAAACTTTCCTGTTATAGCCATGCATTACCAGTACACCTCACTTGTATTTTTCTCCCCATTCAGTTTAGAATACCTAAAAATATCCACAGAAGCTAGAAAAATGGACCTTGCACTCAAACTGACAACTGTTACTATTTGGGAAGATTAAAGAAAGGTTGGCTGAATTTTCAAAAGGAGAAAAGATAAGCCTGTGGGCTTCTTTGTGAATGTTTTGGGGCCCCTGATGGGAACATTTGGTTCCTGTAAAACTAGTTCTTGTGTCCCTGGCCAAAAGACTTCAGCAGTGGCTGGTGCCTCCAGACCTCACGGTAGAGTCCAACAGGGATGCCCCCAGATGCCAAAGAGAGCCGAGGTGGTATGGCAGGGGCAATAGAGGCAGGCCCGGAAGGGGCAGCCGGTGATATCCAGAAGGCCAGAAACGGCAGGGCTAGAGAAAGGCACTTAACCTGCCTTATGCTGAGCTGGTTACTCAGGTCCTGTGTGTCCCTTTGCAACAGGGAAAGGCAGTCTTTTTGAGCCAGGGACTCTGGGAATCTCGCAAGATTGTCACAAAATAGTATGTGACACAAGATTTACAGCCCTAAAAATTAGACTTTCTGAACCTCTCCAGTTACTAACTGGTCAAGGCATCATCATCTTCAGGAGCAGCTATTTTTGAAGATGCCTTGGCGCACAGGACTGGATTTCCTTGACTGTTTTTGGACTTTTTAAATGAAGGCAAATAATGTGAGTGGCTTTCTCGGTGGTAACCAGCACCTTGAAATGCACCCAGAAGGCGGCACAGGCTGTGCAGCAGTGGCGCGGCACAGGCGAACGTGGGAGCACCCAAGACTGTCCTCCGAGTGCTAAACAGGCCAATGTTTCCAAAGTCAAACTAAATACAAAAGAGTAAAATAGCTTCTTGATGGGTAGAGAAGAAATAACTCAATTTGTGATGCCTCTACTAATGGATTAAAATCCCACATCTTGTCCTGTCAACAAAATTGAAGGGAGAACCAAATTTACCAACGAAATGGTGCAATAATTTAAACCACCATAGCAAAGGCTTTTTCTGCCAAATACCTGATTGTGAATCAGGTATGTCCACTAGTAGTCTAATATAATCTGGTGTCTGATGTCCTTTTAGGTAACCAGGACGCATAATGAACACAGGATGATCTAATAAAGGTGATACACTTTGAACAGAGTGCCTTTGGTGGATGGCCAGCCATATGCACCAATAGGATTAAGCTGCATTTTAGCAGACATAAAATCCTTTAAAAGTTCTGGTGAAGCTTGCCTTGTATAATTATTCAAAAATGTCAAATTTCTACAATCTACATAGCTAACAAATTATGCTCCAAGAAAGAAGGTCTTGCCATGAGCTAGAACTCGAGTTATTCGAAGCCAGACCACAATCGACAAAAGGAGCCAGACCTACGTAAAGTCTCCAGCCCTAACGAGCTGACCAGCCAACCTAGGTGAGCTAAGCGTCTGTGTTAGGGCCGTCTGCCACGGGGCCTGAGGGGGCCAAAGTGGTGGGTACGATTGCAGATTGCAGCCCCACCCCTGTGTACATGGGTACGATATCGAAGCGCGTACGCAGGGCAGATTGAGATCCATGGCTGTGCCCGCATTTTGCCCGTCTCCCTCGCCCCCACTGGAAGCTGCCCTGATCTGGATCTTTTACAGGACCGTTAATAAAGGATCTCCCATTGTTACTTACGGATACTTTTAACATCGAAACTCTCTCTCCAAAATACTTCTTCCTTGTTCCATAATTTTAGTAGAGCTAATTATCAGGGTTGCTGCCTTCCGGCAGATTTAGGGTTACCATCAGTGCACGTTTCCTTAAAACTCTGCTGCTGCTCGACGCCTGCGGCCTTTCAGAAAATGTGCTTAAGCAGCATTGGAAGGCTTTGGAGGGAGGATTGCATCTGTCTGTTCTTCCTAGACACATATCTGAGTAAACAATCTTCCTTTTTTAGGCTGGCAAGATATTTAAATTGTCTCGAAATTTAGAAATATCTTAACCTTTCCCCACTTTAACGTATTTCCAGCAGCTCTTTTTGAAGAGAAAAATTTAAAAGCCCTGTACGTATTAAGACTTGGCCCTTGTGGCATAGGGACCATATAATCTATTTTTAGTAAATTTTCCAGGCCTTTCAGATCCATTTAATATACAGAAGTTACTGTCTGACCAGGACAATTTTGTTTCTTTGATCATGGCAAAATTCTGTTTTATTGTTTATAAACTTGCTGAAAATTGATCAAGCTAACGGTATAATGGCATCTATTTTTAATTGTTTTATTTTGCATTTATTTTCTGGAATTCTGATCGCTGACTATAGTAAATGTTGGTTTATGCCTCTGGGGAGAAGACTGAAGCAAAATTAGAGTTGAGGAGCTGTATCTTCTCCGCATCAGCTGTTTCTATCACCCTCTCCCTTTTTCCTTTTGCTAAGGATACAGCCAGAGATCCCCTTCTTGGTTGCTTTTAGCTTCCTGGAGAGAGCCAGAGGCAATCTTGGAGAAACTACGCAGAGACGGTTACGAAAACATGCTTTAAGTCCCAGCAGCAAAGAAAGCGTTAGACGAAACGCTGCCTGTGGTTTACAGGGGGAGGGAAAATGCAGTCAAGCTTTCAAGGTTCGGTCACTGTAATCTCTTGTGGAATTGGTGTCCTGGTCCGGCCTACCTTGAACGCCTGACTGCGTTTTCTCGCAGGGCATCTCAGCATCCACTCTGCCCTTCGGGGTCCTTCCCTCCTGCCTCCTGTTCTCCTGGAAAGAGTCTCTTTTCCTTCCCCCAAAGGCACCGTGTTTTTTCTTCTGGGGGACCCAAAATCTGGGTTCCAGCAGGACTGACTGCCCTCTAGGTCTCTTGCTCCTGCTGGCCAATCCTGAAGACAGGGCAGTTCTCTCCCTTAGAAAGAACTGCCGCCTCTGTCTGCCTCCTTTTTTGATCATTCTCCTGATCTAGCAATACCCTTCTTTAATGCCCCTGATGCGTGCTTTGAGTTGGCTACAATTCTTCTATAATAAACCAACAACCTGCTTTCAGTTTGCACGAATTGAAAGCTGCCCCTCTAGCATTCCTGCCGCCCCCAACCGCCGAGAAACATGTTGGATGGGCCTGACCCTGCTGGGCCTCAGCAAGGCCTTCTTCCGCCCAGCGCTGGGGCTGGGATGTTGGGTAAGCAGCCCAACCCAGCGTACTTTCAGTGAGATGTTCTCAGCTGGTTCTGGCCTGTTTCATGTTGTGTCTTGTGTTCCTGTTGTGAGAAGGCAGGGAGAAGTGAGGGCCTCAAACGAACCATGTTTGCTAGGGGAGAG